TAAGAGTTGTATGAGCCCCTAATAAAATGATTTTTTTAAAAAAGTTAAATTCCATTTTCAGATGATATGATTCTATTCGTGGAAAACCCCAAAGACTTGATAAGAAAATTGTTGGTAATAATTCAAAGATTTAGCAGCATGGTTGGATACAAGATCAACATGTAAAAATCAATCAGATTCCTGCAAACATAGCAAGAAACCCTGAAAAGGAAATAAAAAAACAAAGCATGCCATTGACCATAGTCACACAACAGAGTAAATACTTAGGAATAACCCTAACTAGAGAAATGAAAGACTTGTACAATGACAACACAAAACATTACTACAAAACCCAAAAGGATGTTCCATGATGATTGATAGGAAAGCGTACCATGGTGGAAATGCCAGTCCTCGTTAAAAACAAACAAAAGACCACCTCACTGTCAAGTCACTTCTGACTCATGGTGACCATACAGCACAGGGAGGACTGCCTGCCTTTCTGCCGCCGAACGAATGGTGATTCTGAACTGCTGACCTCACAGAGTGTAACCATTCCGCCACTGGAGTTCCTATCTAAGGCAATCTACAAGTAGAACACAATTCCAATCCAGAACCCAACAGCACTTTTTGAAGAAGTCGGGGGCGGAATCAGTAACTTGTCTGGAGAGGAAAGAGATGCAGGGGAAACCATGCCTTTCACTTCAGAAGAACAACCGAGTAGGAGGCCTCTCACGCCCTCGTCTCAGTTTACTGCACAGCCACAGGAGTCAAACCAGTCTAGTACTGGACAACGCAGACCAGTGGGACAGAAGGGAGAACCCAGAAATCAAGCCCTCTACCCTCAAAGGACTGATCTTTGATAAAGGACTAAAATATATTAAACGAGGAAGATGCAGTGATACCTTGGTTGTCAAACTCAATTCGTTCCAAATTTGTGTTCATAAACACTGAAAAGTTGGAGACAACATATTTTCCCTATAAGAAATAATGGAAACCAAACAATCGGTTCTGAGGCCCCACAATTACACCTGGAACTTCATTTTTCCAGGACTCTAACGGTGTGGAGGCCGTAGCTTTTTTGCATGTCACTGAGATATGCTCTCACCATCAAGCTGTTTCTGGTTTATCCGAATTCACAATGACTTTTCAGCCTCTTCGATGGTTTGGGCTCTTGTTTGGTGGTTAAGTTTCACACCTGTAGATACATGAGTCGCTTTCATCACACTTTATTTTTTTTAATGTTGATAATGTTGACCTGGGTAGGTTGTATTCAGCTGCCCAATCAGACAAGCGGCGACTTGATTCAAATTTTGCAGTGATTTCTTGCTTTAACTCTAGCTGTCTATACTGCTGATATCACTAATTTTCTTTGGAGCCATGGTTACAACATTTTACGCAAATAAAATGCCAAAAAAGAAAAAAAGCGCACAATGACGAATGTCACAACGCACTCACACAAACATTTTATGTTGTCTGAGCAAGAGCTTGCTTCAGCTCAAGGTCAACCCCTTCATGTTGTGGCAGGACAAGACAAGGTGTGTGACTCACTCTTGGCCATGCAGGTTTTTTCAAGGGGGATTTTGGGCTCAACTATGGAGCAAAGCTGATTTTTTTTTAACAGTGCCGTTCAAGTAGTGTAAAGTTTGAGCTCGCAGCTATTCGACAACTGAGGCATCACTACAGTCTCTTTAACAAATGGTGCTGGCAACAGAGGATTTCCACCCACAGAAGGAAACAGGACCCATACTTTACCCCACATACAAAAAAACATGAATTCAAGATGGATTACAGATCTAAATGCACATTCTAGAACTCTAAAGATCATAAATGAGAAAACGGGACCAGTGAAGGGCCCTAACATACAGCATAAACACGCTACCAAACATGAAAACCATCCACACAGCAGTAGGCATCTTCTAAAAAGGAAGCATGGGCATCAAGAGACTTCATCAAAAGAGTAAAAAGGAAACCCAGACAGAAAAAATGTGGGCGATGATACAACGAACACGGGTCTAATCTTTAAAATCTTTATAAAACTGTATCATCAACAAGAAAAAGACAAATCACCCAATTAAAAATTGGCCAAAAACACGAGCCAACAGTCCACCAAAGATGGAAGTTCAGGCAGCCAACAAACAGCAAGCAACTCTCCTGATCACTAGCCACCTGAGAGATGCAAATCAAAGCCACGAAGTATCACTTTACATTAGCACTAGCTTTACACTAGCCAAGTTAAAAAAAACAAAACCAGAAAGCAACAAATGCTAGACAGGGTGTGGAGACACCAGAAGGCTCCCACACAGCAGGTGGGACTGTGAAAATGTGCCATCACTGTGGAGAGCAGTGTGGCGTTCCCTCCAACCAGGAACAGAAATTCCAGGCGACACAGCAATCCCTTTGCTGGGCAGAGGCCCTAAATTCATAAGAGGACAGCAGGAATGGATATATGCACACCCATGTTGGCCACAGCACTATTCACAATCACAAGAAGATGGAAATAACGAACTGCTCATCAGTGGAATAATGGACAAAGACCAATGATGAAAGGGTGATGCACCTCAGGGCATGGACGGACCTGGAGACCAGGATGCTGAGGGAACTTAGCAACCAAAGGCCAACTATTGTATCAGACCACTGTCACAAAGGAAAAGTCAAGATCAAGGTTTTCAGAACAAAAGAAATAGATTTCTATGTTTTTTTTTGGGGGGGGTGGAGGGATAGGAAAGGCAAAGCGATAGCTAGAGAATCTAAACTCCACACTCACTGTCGCTGAGCCAGCTGTGACTCACAGTAACCTGATAGGACAGGTTAGACTGTCCCTGTGGGCTCCTGCGACGAATTCTGGAGAGCCTTGTCTTTCTACCCTGGAGCGGCTGGTGGGTTTGAACTTGGGGTGAGCAGCCCAACGTGTGAAACTGGGCGATGGAGAAGATAGCATTCCACAAGAGGGAGCATAGAAATAAGGGTCGCGGGGGTACGGGGTGGGCAGAGAAAGCTATTAAGTCGTTTAAATGGCTGAATATAAAATGGATGATCTGAAATGTTAAGTGTCTATCTAATTCACAATACTTTTTTTAGTTCCTGAAAGCAAAAGGAATCTACCAAGACCAAGGCGGTGACTGGAGAGTCTTTCCTGGCTTCCTGGGTCTGAAGAGGCCCTCCAGAGCCTCCACCTGTCCACTCTGCTGGGCTCACAGGCCATCTGCCAGGTGCCTGGGTTACCGTAGGGCCTCGGGGAGCGCCTGTGATCCCAGTCTCCATCAAAGAGGTGTACAGGCCCGGTCTGACCCTGAGGAGACATTAGGTGATCTCGGAGCTGGGCAGTGGACAGTCTTTTGGAACATGGTCCTCCATGGTGTGGCTTGCTGCTCCAGCCAGGCTGACACAGCAGCAGGTCACCGACAAAGTCTTGGAAAAACCAACCTGGCAGATGTGAGAGGGTCCAGATTCTGCCTGTTCTAGGTGGAGTGTGGTCCGATGACCCATAGCCCCTTGGCTGTCCCAGTGTGAGTAGGTTCTTCCCTCCTCCCATGTCTAGGACGGGCTCTCTGACACCAATGACAGGGAGCGTGGTAGTCCTCCCACACGGCTCCAGGCCAGAGCTAGGTGAACAGGAAACAGCGACCCAGGAGCAGCTCAGCAGAGGCTTCTGGGAAAAGGAATGCCTGCCTCTGGTTTCTAGGACACTTGTCACTAATTACCAGGCAGGCTGGTCGTGTCTGTTCCACCTTCTTTACCCTTGGTGGAGTCGGCACTGGGGTGTAAGGCCTCCACATCTTGGAGGCCCCAGTGAGAGAGATCAGGTGAGCATTAAGGCTCAGGTTTAATAAGAGCCTGCCAGCTGTCCCTTCAAGGGAGTGCTGGCCACAATCTCGCCTTTCCTCTCACTGTTTCAGGCTGTGCTAACAACAGTCTGCTATCAATGCCCATCTCCTTCATTAGATCTCACGGCTGCCTGACAGCACCTCTTCAGAATCCCCGGTGGGCAGCAGTCGCTTGGGACCCAATTCACATTTTCCCCAAAGACCTTGTGGATCTCAGAGACATCTGCCTAGCAGCAGGCAGATCTCCACTTCCCCCTCAGCCATGGGCCTCAGCATCCAGCCTACCTCTGTCAGTCCCTCCTGTTACTCAGCATGTACTGCGGAAAACCCAACTCCTGAGTTTGACACGCAATGCTTGGCCCAAGGCGCTCCTGCAGCCTTTCAACAGCATCTACCCTCAGCACTCCCCGTGAGCTAGAACCTACCATACAAGGCCCCAAACTCATGGCATTGACTCTCCTCCCATGTCACTACATCACAGAAAAGCCCACCTCCTACGTCTACTTAGCCTGCTGGCACCTGCTAGCACCCCATGACCATCACCCTGGGAGGGGACCGGCCCTGGGAGCAGGTAGCTGGGACCTTTGCTCACAGGGCCCTTGACTCTAGGTACTCACTTGTTGAAGAGGTTCAGGCCGATGCGGTAGTGCCGCTTGCGGATGACGTCATTGCTGAAGGCGGGCGAGTCCCAGCTATTCCGGGTTTCTTTGTGGTAGGTCTGCTTGCTGAGTGTCTGCTCCCGAAGGCTGTCACGGGACGATGACTCCGAGCTGCAGTTGATGGTGTCGTTGGAATTGGATGTGCTATTGATGCTGTCGTTGTCTCCATCAGAGTAGTCGGACTCGGACTTGCTCTGCCTATTGGCTGAGCCATTGATGGCCAGGTGGCTGTCAATGGGCCTGGGGGGCCGAGGCCGCAGCTCAGGTTCTTCCCGGGGGAGCCCCTTGAGGGTTCCAACATGGGGGCCGTGCTTGGGGCTGCCCTCCTGCCCACCAAGGCTGCGCTCATAAGCACTCTGCCTTTTGAGGGAACTACGGTCCGAGCGGTCGCTGAGTTCTACGGAGCTGTCACTGGGCGGCTCAATGGTCAGCAAGGGGAGGTGGTCCCCCCGCAGCCGCTGCTCCGGCCGCTCCAGGGAAGGTGTGCTCCGGCAGCTGGTGTCCGTGTCTCCCTTGTCATCCTTGTGACCCAGGGCCCAGTAGTCCTGGGACGGGCCTCCAGCCCGCAGCCGCAGCTCTGACTCGGTGCTGGACGGCCGGTCCCCCATCTGTGAGCGTGGCAGAGGGGGCGACAGCTCCTCCTCGTCGATGTACAGGGTGACATCACTGTACGAGGCGGTCATCTCATCCAGCTTATGGTGGTCCATGCCGTGCAGGCCTGGCTTCCGCTCGGTGTCCCGGACCCGGGCTGCATCAGGGGCTGGCACCTCCTCTGCATGCAGGCTGCGACAGTTAAGGGCGTCATCAATGGATTCCGCCAGCGACTTCACCTGCCGGGAGAAAGCGTCCTCCAGCTCTGTGATGGCGTCCGCAAAGTCACTGGAGGCAGCTGGGGACTTGATGGTGGGTGGCTTGCCAAGGTCACCGCACTCTGATGGAACCAAAGCACCCAACTGGGAGCCATCGTTGGTCACCGAGACCTGCTTGCCCTCGAAGTAGGAGCCGTGCACTTTCTCGGGCCCCTCGAAGGAGAACTGCATCCTCATGTTGGACAGCACGATGCGGCGCGACATGCGGTTCTCGGACATGGAGCTGCGCAGGCGCTCGAAGTTCTTGTTCATCTGGTACTGGCGGAACGCAGTCTGGATGGTGCGGGCTGCATGGCGGGTCACGAGGCGTCCCCCATACTTCCGTTCTAGCATCTCCACCTGCGGGGGTGGGTGGGAAAGAGAGGTTGAAGGCTGTCCCAGCACAGCAGTCCCTCTCCCTGACTCCATGGTGGCACCCTAAGGGATGTGTGTGTGTCTCTCATTGGGTCTCCAAAAAATATGGGGTTCAAGGGCAAATAAGATGGAGAAATGTTAAAAAATAATGCAGCCCTTGGTGGTAGTGGTGGGGTGGCAGTGAACTTCAGGGGGCAGACTTCAAAGCTAGATGCTGGGGCTTTAATCCCAGCGGCAAGGCACTTTGGCCCGAGCCAAGCCATGTAGGTCCAGTGGCAGCCAGGCCGGACACCCGCACGTGCTTTCCTGGAAGGCGTTCCCAGTTTGTACAGCCTGCAGTGCCCCCTCCTCCCGACACACACAGATTGGAAGTAGAGGGCCAGAGAACAGACCTAGTGCATGTAATAAAACACACACACACACACACACACACACACACACACACGACTCCAGGCTTTGGAGACGACCCTCCCTTTCTTGCCATAGAGTGATGGGAGAACAGAGCTGGCAGCAAGGGAGAAAGAGACTGGGCACCCTCTTGGTCCCTGTCTGGTGCAGGGTCTCCCCAGTGGGGCTACCATGATCCAGAGCAGCCTGTGGGGTATTCCCTCTGCCTTGTTCCTGAATGAAGGCCAGCTCTAAATGAGCTCAAGAAAAGCCAAGGTAAGGCACTGGTTTCTCCACTAAGTATGGCCTCTCTGGCTACAGGGCAGAGCAGCCACCATGTGTCCCAGGGCAGTGGAGAGGTAAGACCTGAGTCTCAGCAGTGTAGGTCCAACCTTCCTGCTAGGTTGGACCTAGCAGGAAGGTTGATGCTAGCAGTGTGCCAAGCATCACACCAAGTCTGGTGGTACAGACAGGGATGTTGTCCTCACACCCCACACCATACCACAGGGCCCCCCCCCCCACAAGTTCAAGCCTTCCC